CGCTACTTCATCCTCATCTGATGTTGACATATCAGCCTCTTCATAATCTGGATCTCCATCATCTTCTATATCGCAACAGTCGTCAGTCAGGTCATGTTTTTTCTGCTTGGACAAGGGTCACATCAACTTCAGTTTTTCCTGTTCCGTAAAAAACAATTGTAGAAACATCATCTGAAAAGAATTTATTGTTTAAAATGTTGTCATAAATTCTAATCCACTTTTGTATCTGTTAACACCTTCTGGTGGCATTTGCGTACCCATTTTATAGGACCATACCAAATATTAGCAAATGCAGAAACAATAACAATTAATTCTTAAATGAAATTTTCATAATGTTAGTTAGTAAATACCAACAGCTATATGAAGTTTTTTTCAACACAATAGCAATATTAGAATAAAATAAAAAAACTTTATCAAGTGAAAAACGATCACATTTACCAGCCATTACTTCAAGTAGACCAACAAAACCTGTTTACATTCCAAATGACTCAAATACATATAAATCATCTTATATAGGGACTGTAGCCACCCTCTATTAGAATTATGTTGAACTTAAGTTTTTAATTATTGTAGCAACGTTCTAGCTATCTCGTGTTAATAATAAAATAATTGTGTCTAACTCTTTCAACAGTTATTTTTTGTGAAAATACACCTAAAACATTCCATCGCGCTAATTGTAATAATTCGTGTTGAAACTGTGTTTCATTAAGCGGGACTATACGATATTAAAAAACATCCTGATTAACGCAGTTCATTTCGGAAAATTCATCACGGCGTCATATTAATTTACATTTTCAAGCTCGGTCTCACACCCAAAAATTTGGCCGGTCTCCAATTGTGAATTCATTGACCCAGAACTAAAAAAATTATGACGTCGACGTAAATCAGCTGGAAAAGTGCAACTTTTGTTGGAAAAAAGTTGTAAGTTAAATTTAGGAGCATTCATAAATTCTAAATGCTTGTGTTTTTGTGGTTTCGTTTTTGCGGTCCATCTAAAAAACGCTTTTTCAAATAGCAGATCTAATATTAAATTATGAATTATATTTTCACTTAAAATACTGAAAATATATACAACTTTATTATTCTAACATAATTAGTCTATATATATTATTATTATATTAGTAACATAACAAATTATTATTCTAACATAACAACTAGTAATCAAACTAACTGTTCATCATAGTCATCATTTCTTTTGCCTTTCTCCATATGCGGAGTCAGTTTTACTAATTTCATCTTTCCATAAGTGTCTATCTTGTATCTTGGTGTATGTATGTGAAAGAAAGAAGAGGTTTTTTTACCAACGTACTTCTATTGCTGTATAGGGTGTAATAAGACATTTTTATGCACTGGACATTTGATTTTAATAAACCATTTCACTAACATTTGTTCTTTTATCCAGACTTTGATAAATATTTTACAAGTTTGATGTGTAATGGTATTACCTTCATATTTAATGAGCTCTTTAGGAATGCAGTCGACTCGTGAAGACTTTTTGTTGAAGCATCTGGTTGCGTCTTTCACTTCAAGCATAAAAGAAGTTCATATGTGGTATTATTTCTTGGAGTGCCTTATTATTATTTACTTTAGTACAGAGTAGTTCTTTCAACTGCTTAACCCATCTGCTTTGTACTGAGATACAGGTGATAACTATATGTCCAGTTTTGTCTCTATATATTGTGTGGGTCAGCGACAATAATAAACTAAAAGATCTTGAGATTGCAAATGTATACAAAGAGCAAATAAAAGATCAAATTAGGACTGAAAACTTAGAAAAAGAAGACAATAACCAACTCTGAGCAAATCTACGAGATATTGTGTTACAGAAATCGGTTGAAAAATTTTGTAAAACCAAGTTGGAAACAAGAAGTCATTTGTTTGATCATAAGTGTGAAATGGCCACAAATAAAAAGAACGCAGCGTATCAAAAAACCATCGACGCAGGTTGTATACGGAATAAAAAAAAACGCTGCAGAAGGGTTCCAGTCTAATGAATGGCATTGATGAGCCTTGTTTGGCCATTTAATCTGCTTTTTCATTGCCCTTATGACCCTCGTGCACCGGCACCTAGGCTACCGTAACCTTGATACGGTCTCCTAGTTTATTTAGGGCATACACGCAATCCCTTACTAGCTTAGTAGGCTAGATTTCAGTCTTTCCTACCTGGTATCTAAATTGTAAACTTGTTAAAGCTATATCTCGTAGCTGGTACATCGATAGGTTTCCTCATCACAATATCGGCTTTTAGCTCCTTGATTAGCTTTCTGTTGCCAGTACCATGCATCTGGCTTATATGTCGCTAACTATGGATTAATCTGTGCATCACTGATCTGGCTTCACCCTGTGTAAAGATATGAAGTGGTGTTAGATTTAGCAGGACTTCCAACGATGCAGTAGAAGTCGTCTTTATGGCCCCAGTTATACACAGGCATGCTAGCCTTTGTGTATTACCTAGCAGCCTTATTGCTCCCACTTGCTGGGTCCTTGTACACCACGTCACAGAGCCATAGGTTATCATGGGTCTAATAACCCTTGTGTATAATCATAAAGTCATTTTGGGGTTAAGTCCCCAATTCTTACCGCACATTCTTCTACATCTGCCCAGGGACATAGTAGCTTTTTGTGTGGTTTATGGAATTTAAGTATTCCATGTAAGCCTATGATCAAAATATACCCCAAAGGTATTTTGTTTCTTCGGCAAATGAAATCTCTATTCTTCTTATTAGTAATATCGCCTTTTTGTATAACAAGACTATTACTGCAGTGTTCCAGACTTTTGGAATCGTACTAAATAATAAAGTAAACTAAGTAATAAAATTTCTTCTCCTGCTTTTATTGCCTCGATAATGAGTCCATCATCACCAGGCCATCGATGGTTCTTCATTTCCTTTAAAGCTGCTCTTACTTCTGACACAGTAATGGGTAAAAGTATTTCCGATCCCTGATTTATAAGAGTCTTTACTTGTGTCAGGAAATTGTCTTGTGGTCTTTGGCTGGTATAGAGGTCTTTATAAAACTCTCTGGTTATTTTCAGGATGTTTTGTTTATCTGTTGTTGCCTTTCCGTCTTTATCTCTCAGCTTGTATATTTCTTTTTTACTTTGTGTGAGTTTTTTTTGGGGTCGTAAATGAAAATGGGCTACTAATCAGTTCTACATCGATACAAAAATTGTAAAATTCGTTAAAGTGCAGAGACTTAGATGGGCTGTACACATTACTAGGATATCAGATCACGAATACACGATGAGATTAACATTTTTAAAACCAGAGAGCACAAGAAGCAGAGGTCGACCAAGAAGGAGATGGATTGATGATGTGGAAGAATACCTACAGATTCTAAGGGACACAAGATAAAGGGAAGTTGCCTTTTATTTGTCTTATTTGTGAGCAGGCAAAAATCTGCAATGGATTGTCGAGCCACTTATGATGATGATTATTTGAATGATAGATAGATGACCTTTATGATTTTCTTCTTCTTCTTCTTCAGGTGCCATCTCCGCTACGGAGGTTGGCAATCATCATAGTTATCTTAATTTTTGAGGCAGTAGCTCTAAATAGTTGTTTTGAGCTGCATCCAAACCATTCTCTCAGGTTCTTCAGCCATGAAATTCGTCTTCTTCCGATGCTTCTTCTGCCATCTATTTTTCCTTGCATTATGAGTCGCAGGATGCCATACTTATCGCCCCGCATCACATGTCCGAGATACTGTAGCTTTCTTTATTTAATTGTAAGTTCAATTTCCTTCTCTTTGCCTATTCTTCTCAGTATTTCATTGTTTGTAACTCTATCTACCCAGGAAACCCTCATAATTCTTCTATAGGTCCACATTTCAAAGGCGTTAAGTCGTCTCATGGTATCTAGATTTAACGTCCATGATTCCACTCCATAATATAGTACACTGTATACGTAACATTTTGTTAGGCGTACTTTAAGAGCTAATGTTAGATCTTTGCCACATAGGACCTTTTTCATTTTTATAAAATTAGAACGTGCTTTTTCGATTCTGACTTTGATTTCTGCCGTGTAGTCATTATTTTCTGTTATAAGTGTTCCTAGGTAAGTGTACTTTTTTACTCTTTCGATCTGCTGGCCCTCTACTATCAAGATTTCGTTAGTATTATAGTTGTTTTTACAAATTTTCATAAACTTCGTCTTTTTGACATTAAGAGAGAGTCCGTACTCCCTACTACACATGACTATTTTGTTCATGAGTCTTTCCAGGTCTTGTAAACTATCGGCTATTATTACTGTATCATCTGCATATCTGATGTTGTTAATTAAGACTCCATTTACTCTTATGCCGACTGTTTCATCTTCCAGAGTTTCTCGAATTACCTCTTCAGAATAGGCGTTAAATAATAGAGGTGATAGAATGCAGCCTTGCCTGACTCCTCTCTTTATTTCCATTTCTTCAGATGTTTCTTTTTTGATTCTTACTATTGCTCGCTGATTGTAATAGAGGTGTGTTATTAGCCTTAAATCTCTTTCATCTAGGTTTTTATTTTTTAGAATTTCCAGGAGTCGATCATGTTTTACTTTATCAAACGCTTTATTGTAGTCTATAAAACAGACGTAAAGAGGGCGGTTAACATCATCTTTATGATTTTATGAATTGACAATTTGAGCAACTTGAGTCCTTTTATTTGAACGAGTTTCTTTTATTATTAGTTAAGCAAAAGTTTTACTTATTTTATATATACTAAATTTAATTTTTTATCATTTTTAATAATATTTACTGGTTTTGTAAATAAATACTTGTATAATAGCATATTAAATATTATAATGCATAATATACAGTTAAATAAGACGCTTATAGATATTTGCGATAAATTTTGTAAACTTAACAATCACGGCTATATTTGTACTAATTTTATATCAAATAAACCTACCATAACGTACTAGAAATCCCACAAAATTGTAATATTATCCCCATTCACACCCCAACCTATGCATCTGTCCCTCTTCAGACATCCATATTAAAATATCATTTTCCTTTTTCAGACACGGACAACCAGAGGGTGATTATCCACGTGCGAGACGTCAACGACGAACCACCCTACTTCATCAACAGGCCTTTGCCCATGCAGGCGGTAGTGCAACTCAATGCTCCCCCGAACACGCCCGTTTTCACCCTACAGGCTCGTGACCCCGATACGGACCATAACATTCACTACTTTATTGTCAGGGACAGAACCGGTGGCAGGTTCGAGGTACGTACGCCAGTGTAGCCGATTTGATCGTTCACGCGCCAGCGAAAAATTAATATAGGGTTGAGAATTTAGATTTGATTTTTAAAGTACAGTACAGTATTAACCTAAACCTGCACTATGGGTGCGATTATCTTGTAATCTTCTACTAAATTTGCTTATTTAAAAGCAAACTTTATAAAAACTAATATTTTAAATAAGAAATTCGTTATCTTAGTTGACCCTTAACTACAGACATTCTATTATTACCAACAGAGCTCCGGTATTTTTTGCCGGTCATTATAAAATGGAGTCAAATATAAAGTTAATAAAAAATGCATTATGTATTTTTTTGTAGTGTCTATATATGGGAGAATTGGCGAAATGACTAATTTTAATACTAAAATAGAAGATTTTTAAAAAATAATCTATTAACCCAGATATTACTGAAACTTTTATTGTTAACATTTTGAATTAATTTCGAATTTTCATGGAAATTATAACATATGGAACCAAAAAACACAATCATATTTTTTTTATGACGATACCTGTCAAGTTTTGACATGTTCTTTTAAAAGGACGGTAGTAATATACGCTACCAGATATCATATATATTTTATTAGTATCAATTTACAAAGAATGAAAGAATTTAAAACAAAATTTTGGATGTAAAGGTATTTTTGCACTTTTCACACAAAAACTGGACTTTTTTGTGACAATATCCACATCGCTATTGCTTTTCTTGATAAAGAACCAAGTGGTTAATACCGTCATATATTGAATTGGCTACCGAATTCGAATTCCGCTTAGAAGGTCCGCGTTTTGTTTCTTTTTTAAAAGTTTCCAAAATATTAGTTGCAATAGATCTTCTAAATTCAAGTTGATCCAGTTTACCGTCTTGAGTTTTGTGAACCTGCCACGCATTTTAAATAGCCATATTAACGCAATGAGCAAAAAGGGGAAAACACCATTTCTTTCCTCTTATGGACACTCGATATAAACTGATGTTCTGGTCACTGCGATCAACGCCACCCCTGAAGTTATTGTATATTCTAACAATATTTGGTTGAGGAACTTGAATATGTTTTTTCTCTGCTTATGAAATTCCCTTTACAGAGAAGCACGTCATTACTGGTACAAAATTGGAAGCAATAGAAACGATATTATTATCATGCCAGCGGCAAACCACTATTGATGTATTTTTATCAAGACGATACTCGTATTTACCACGTTTAGTTTTTTTCATAATAGATGAACAGGGTAAAGGGCATTTCATGGTACGATTTTCCCTTACAGTGCCTGTACCAAATATGCCTGTAGCTCATGCAGTAAATGAATAGAAGTAAAATAATTATCAAAAATAAGATGGAATCGCCTTTGAGGCCATACTTCATTCAATCTGTCTGCATAGGATAGAACTACTGATGCACCCAATCCAAGGACTTTATATTGTTCAGGTATTGTAGTGGAATTACCTTGGTAAGGAGAAAACCAAACTATGTATCCCAGACGAAGGGCTCCTACCCACATTTTGTACCCCCAACGGATTGGTTTTTCCCTGATGAATTGTTTTATGGGATGGCGACCAAAATACGGAACCATTGCCTCATCTATGCTGTGATGTTGTTCTAAAGGGTAAAATTGTATAAATTTTTTGTTTATTACGTCGAACAGGGGTCGCATCTTGGCAAATCTATCAAATTTATCTAATGACAAGTTATTGCAAACATGCAAAACTTTCATTATGTGGGAAAATCTATCCCTAGATATAGCAGCTACCACCATTGAGTTGTGCGAATCGTCACGATTTTCCCAGTACATGTATCTTTTCGGCACAACCACATAACCACTCAATACAAGAACGCCTATAAAACATCGAATCTCATTTTGAGTAATGTCGTTCAAAAGATGTCTTTGTCCTGCGTAGATGTTAGTGTATTCGGTAACCAAATTGATGACTTCATCATCAAAAAACAAATTGAAAATTTCCATCGGCGACTGAGTCATTTTCGGTCCAAATTGAGTTTTCCAGTAAGTACAATCAGGGTGTTGATACAAGTCTCCTTGAATCCAGTGTGCAGATATGCTCTCTTCTAATTGATGGGGCAGCTTTTCCTTGGAAAGAAACAAAGCCAATGGCATATTGTCATCATCCGAATCTTCTTCTGGTAGGCTGGAATTCACAGAATCTAGTGGTAATTCAGTCGCGTTGTCAAAAACAAGTTCTACATCGTTTCTTATCTGACTAGCCGGTAAATTATTTATTGTAGTTAGTTCTTTATCGCCGGAGTCGCAATCGGTGACATCATCATTGGCATTTTCTGGGGGAAATATGATCAAACCATTTGGAGGGACTGGGATTTCATCAGAATCAAGCTCTTCTAATAGCTCATGCAATTTGAGAGGCCTCCTGAAACAATATGCAAGTTGGTAGTACTAATTACTACCGTCCTTTTAAAAGAACAAAATGAAATCCCAAGCGGCGAGTCTTTGAAACAACGTGACAACTATTCGAGCCAAGAATATACGTACATAAGTTCCTATTATACAATAATCCACATGCCAATGCTGTGAAATAACAGTTTTTTAATTCTAGACTTACCTCCAATTATAAGCATCCTTTTTGTAGTCCAAAACCTGGCAATTTACACAGATAACCTTACAATTACAGCATGTGCGCGCAATAAATCGTTAAACTTGTCGAATGCTGGCTCTTGAAAACACTCCATCTAGAGCCATCTATCAGTTGGTAGCTGTACTAACCTAAATTACGCATAATTTACACTGCCTTTTGAAAGGACGGTAGTAATATCTGGGTTAAACAATAATTTTGGTAACATTTTTGGTCTATCGAAACAGTCATAAATGCTTTGAACAAAGATTTAGATTTTTTTAAAACAAATAAACCGAATATAGAATCATAGGAGAAACATAAAATAGCATTAACGAAAATCTATACATTTATGAGAAAATATCTGCAAGACGTAAAATTGCCAAAAAGTTAAGTGGCTCATTCCTTGCAAACTTTTGCCGTGCATTGCAAAAATATCGGAGTCTTGCACATTATGCAAATATGAATGGTTTTACTTTCTTCAGCGTTTCAGTATCATGGTCTATTCGTAAATACCCTGCATCTGATTCCACATGACTTGCGTCCGAATAAATTTCCTCATTCCATTTTTGCAAAGTTTCCTCAAAATGTTTATCACCAAATGAAGGTCCAGGATGACTTTCAAAGTCCATCCACAGAAAAGATCGAAATCCAACTTAATAACACTATATGGCGAAACAGATACATTAACACTGAGATAACTTCCAGAATTTATAAAGCAAGTGTAAGACCAATACTGACATATGTCTCAGAAATAAGACACAATGCAAAGGCTACTGGAAACGACAGAGATGAGAGTACTGAGAAGAATTAAAGGAAATACGCTAAGAGATCGAAAAAAAGTGAAGACATTAGAAGAAAATATAACGTACAGTGTATAAATGAATGGACAAAAAATAGAAAAAAGAAAGGAATAACCACATAAGCAGAATGAAGGAGACCCTGTCATCAAAGTAGCATTAAATAGGTCACCTGTAGTGACAACCTTCCATAGTACCTCTATAATCTGTCAATGAACATGCAGAATTGCTTATAAGGAGGAATAAGAAGATATTAGTAACTACTATTGACACTAAACCAAACGGTACACATAAAAGTAGCGTGGTTCAAGTACATAAATGTATGACACTTTTCCTAAAAATACGTTAATGAACGTTTTTTCTAAAAAATTATTTAAAAATCCTTTTTAAAAGGTATGAAGGATTTTCAAATAAATTTTTTGTGATACATGGTATACAGCGAGCTACAGGAACTTGGTTTTCTTGTGGGTTTTTCTTACTATTTTGGAAATATTTGTATATAAGCAAGACAATTAAATTTGTAGATTTAACTATGTCATGCAATTAAAGGACTTGAAAATAGATACGACACATTTAACATAAATAAAAAAATGTGAAAAAAAGCGGCTGCTATCCTCAGTAAGTGTCGCATTGCACTGCTAAATGATGAACATGGTAAAGTAAGACTTAAAGTAAATGATGAACTTAACGAAAGGAAAAATTACATTACGAACGTATTCGAAGAAGACTTAGAACTTCCTCAGAGCTTACCACAATTGGATTACTTCACCTCTGGTTATTAATAACTGCGACGGACCTTAACAACACGCTCTAAAGTAATGCATGCCATACAATCATCAAAAATGGCAAAGTTGCAGATACTGATAAAATTCCAAGTGAAATATACAAGCTTATAAATAATAGCTACGTTTGAGAGGCAGAGAGTCACGGTAAAATTAGATTCAGAATTTAGCAGGCGAGAGTCGCTTTTACAAGAATGTCTAAGGTGTTATCTAAGTCCACTGTTATCTAAGGATAGTCCACAATACTAGAAAGCGTCAGCAAGACTGCTGAGATTATAAAAAGCAAAAAGGAGGGAAAGATGAAGTTCTTCGGTCATGTAATTAGAGTTCCCAAATATAGGTTGCTATAAAATATTATGCAATAAAAAAGTAGCAGCAAATACAGTCCAAGACAAAGATAGACTTTATGGTTAAATTAATTGTCAAATGAGTATGTTATTGATACAAGCATGCAATTTAGGGTGACATTGAATAAAATTAAGATCATTATCATCATCATCAGCCGTTTTGAGTCTACTGCTGGACATAGGCCTCCCGTAAATAATTCCAATGCATTCTATCGTGAATGCAAACGAATGCAAACAACGAAGAAAATTTTAAAGATCATATCGGTAAATTCCTTCAAGAAAAATCATCAACAAATGATATTAACATCCTAAATGACATAATAGTAGAAGCAATAGCAGAAGCTCAAAAGAAATGCTGCCCAAAAAGCGTGAAGGAAGAAAAAAATAGTCTGAAAATACAGAAAAAATGGAACAAAGAAGAATACTGAGAAGCGACGAAAACTCTAGTAACGACGATATAAATAGAATGAACAAGGAAGTATCAAGAGAAATCAGAAAAGACCTAAGAAAATACAAAGATGAGAAAATCCTCAAAACTATTGAGGAAAATAAGAGTATGAAAATAATGAGACGCAAAGTCACAAATGGGCGGCATATGAAAGGATGACAGACATTTTTAAAACAAATATCTCAATTCGCCTAAAAAGGAAGGCATTTAACCAATTCATCTTACCAGTCTTGATCTATGGAGCAGAGACCCTAACTTTAACGAAAGCTACTGCCGAAAAACTGAAGGTAACACAAAGGCGAATAGAGAGATCAATGCTGGGCCTGACCTTGAAAGATCGCGTGAGAAATGGGGAGATACGCCGACGAACTGGCGTAAACGATATTATACTGCGAATCAATAAACAAAAGTGGAGGTGGGCTGGACATGTTGCTAAAATGGAAGACGGAAGATGGACGAAGAGATTATTGGAGTGGAGACCAAGAGCCGACAAGCGAAGTCGAGGCAGACCACTCAGCCTATGGACCGACGACCTAAGGAGAATAGAAACAAACTGAATTGCAGCAGCTAAAGATAGAGAGAACTGGAGACGTTTGGAGGAGGCCTACATCCAACAATGGATGTGAAAATGGGGCTAGATGATTCTATCTTGAGCACCCTAAATCCAGTTGTGCTGAATGCGCTTGATGTCATCTGACCACCTTGTTGGAGGACGTCCTCGATTACGATAAGCATCATGTCTAGGTCTCCATTCCAGAATTTTCTTCGTCTACCTTCCAGCGTTTAATCTGGCAACATGCCCCGCCCAGTTCCATTTCAATGTTGTAATCCTTCGAACTGCGTCAGTAACATCAGTTTTTTCCTAATTATTGTATTTGATACTCTGTCTCTGAGAGATATATTCAGCATTGACCTCTCCATCGCTTTCTGTGCTACTTGTATTTTATTGATTACTTAGAAAATTAAGATAGCTATGAGGATAACTAACGTTCTGAAAGGACATAGTACTTCAAGAAAAAGAGGATTTTGGTTTAAATTTTTTTCTATGATCCTAGTCTCACCCTACGAAATACAATTTTTAAGATAGATTTAAAACAAAAAAATTATATTAAAAAATGGACAGGTGAATAGCTTGAAAGCTAGTCCCAGACTAACAATATGCGTATTATAAGTAAGGCCACAAAAGGCGTAACAGAGGGGAGAAATAGCAAATTTTTAAGAGGGGTGAAGAAAACAAAGAACTGTTACACCTCACCAAATGTGTCAGGGAGAGATTTGAAAGAAAGATTATGAGCAGAATAACTATTAAAATAACACCAGGCGTGACATTAGTTTCTTTTTATATTAGCTGACTACATTTTCAAAAAGCGAGATTCACAAATGTGTAACAGAAATTTTTAATAAGAAAAAACAAAAATCTGAACAGTAGCATAACATTTTTAAAAAACTCGACATTTGGTTTATAATTGAAATTAAGAGGTTGAATATATCTCATTACTTGCACATTACGTTAATACATAGCATATTGTTTTAAAATATTAAAGTCAAATTTAAACTGAGCTCAGATATCGCAAGTTAAATAAAAAAAGTATATAGAAAATATAGAAAATTATAAAATCAACATTTTTAATTTTTTATTTTCTTTACTTGTTGCCCCACTCCAATAAAAAATATTGGCAAAACTTGTGGAGATTTTAAGTACAAACAATGTGTTGCTAGATTTGTCCGGTTGCTAGCGAGTTATAGATTTATTAAAAACAAAAGGTATAACTGATAAAAGGTATAACTAATACAAATAAAACACTGAAAACTTTGTTTCTAAATCAAAAACTACATAAGAAAGCCCTAAAATTAGTGTTTCCACCACCAGAGAAAAGAACCAGTGTATTCTGCTCGATTAGATAATAATAATATACAAGCAAGATAACAACAAAAACAGCCAAACACATAAAAAAGAAAGAAATAACACTAGTCTTTAGAACAAGCAACAACTTAGACAAATATATTATGAATAATAAGAACCAAAATAAAAATCTCTTACACAGTGGTATATACAAACTTGAATGTAGCGACTGCCCAAAAACTTACATTGGTCAACCTGGTAGAACTTTTAACAAATGTATAGCAGAACATAAAAGGGTTTTTAAAAATACAAAACCAGATTCGTGATATTCAAAAAAAGGCCTTAAGCTCTCTTTAAAATCTATAGAAATTAACAAATCAAAAAAAAACATAATTCTGGATGACCAACTTAAGACAAACATTTCTTTCCTCCTCAACTTATTCAATTAAAGACTAAAAAGTGTAAACACACATCGAAAATATATCACTCGAGAAAGGTACTCTGCCGAAACAGCTGTAGTGATTAAATATTATAATATATTTTGTTAAAGTTTTAAAAACAAAGTTTTCAGTATTTAATTGTCGTATAAAATAAATTTCCATCAAGTAACGGTCGAATCCATCACTGGTATAACTATTATTTACTGACAAACAATTACTTCTGTTTAAAATCAGGTTAAAGTTTTTTTTGGAATGAAGTATAATATTCTGATCATCTTTGATCATCTTTTAGGTTGACGAACGATCGGGAGTGGTCCGTACAAGAGGTACCGATCTTTTCCAGCTAGATATGGAATATGTGCTGTACGTTAAAGCCGAAGACCAAAATGGCCGTTTGGATGAAAGAAGGTTCCAAAGTACTCCTGAAGAAAGACTGTCGATTGTCGGAGGAAAGAGGGCGCCTCAGTTTTATATGCCAAGTTATGAAGCTGAAATACCAGAAAATCAAAAGAAAGATTCTGAGTAAGTGTAATTTAAATATACTTATAAATAAATATAGTGTAACACTTTTGTATAATTATATTTATACTTACTGAATTTATGATTATTTAATAGTAGTAAAGTCAATTTCATTTGATTACCAATACGCTCACAAAAGATTTGAACGATTTTGCATAACCCTTGCTATAGTTGTAACAACTATTTTGCTTACCACAGGGTAAGAATATGGGGGACAAGATTGGGCAAACAAAATAATCGAAACAAGTGCATACGGACACTCAGTTGGTTGTTGGAGAGCTGGGTCGTGGATAAGTTGAAGATATTGGAGTTTGGATTGGGGCAACTACAAAAAAGGAAATAAAAGGTACTTATACGAATCTATTGGACAAACAGAATGAATATAAACGGAAACACCTCAAGAAATTTAATATAGGGCGCCACTTGAGGTGCCCAATTATACCTATTACAACCACTAGTTGTAACTAGGGAAATAATTGTATAACATCAAAAATATAGAAAAAAAATATCTTTTTCAAATAAAACTCAAAATAGATAAGAGAAACAAATTAACATTTATTATTGTCTCAAACAGTTTTCAAAAATACAGCTTATAAAGCAATACAACTTACAGCAACAAAGGCATATTATATATATTATGACAAAATATGTCAAATACAAATGACAAAAAACTTACATATCTGTTAACAAAAGGTTACAAAATTCTCTGAAATGGTTCCTAGTAGATAATGTGGCCAAATTTTATGGATATCCTTTTATAAAGAATAAAATTTAATCTTTACTACAAATCAAAATAGATTAAAAAGCAAACTGTCACACGTCAAAACAAACATTTTTAAAACAGGATAAAATTATGACATGACAGTTTAAACCAGGCCCTAACATAATATAATTACAAATATTTTTTTTTTTTAAATAATTTATAAAAGAAAGCAAATTTTGTCTTTTTAAAAGAAAATGTCTATTTTTACTTTAAAAATTAATAACGTAAATGTTGCCTCAGTTCACACATGTTAACTTAAACTTTTGAACAACTGGCTAACTTCTGCGGGGTATCCAACTGCACATCAACAGAAAGCTTTATTGGAAGCTGAAACTGGCACATCCAAATCAAAAATGCTCCAATATTATTCTACATGAGGTGAAAAGGGCATCTCGGAAAGGAACTGGATTTCTCAAAAAACGAAAAACAAAGCAGGAACTAAACTTGTTCACTGCTCAAACATCATAAATCTTCAGCCAAAATAAAAACAGTGGTTACTGGTCACTCTTTCAGAAACGACATATTACTTAGAATGAAAATTCCACCATTTTGGCGAATGAATGCCGGTTTACCACATCACCATTAAAACGACCTTTCGCTGCGAGCAATTATTCATCACTGCCTTCGCTGACCCTCTCGATCTCAATCTCCGGATAGTAACCCCTCTTTTCCCCGCACAAAACCATTGCCATCTTGTCAAATCAACAAATTCTTTACTCAAATTCGTTCAAAACTTCCGGCGTTACTGCGCTTTAGAAAAAATAATACCAATGTTGCAATATTTTTCTGGGAACGTTGAAGTTAAAAAGCCATAAATTGTTCTCTTTAGCAAATACGTTTTTATTTATTGAAGAATTATTGCGTATTTAAAAATCTCTACAGACAACACATTTCTAGCGTACCAGGGGCGTACTATATAGAATCGAATTTATATTATTATTTAGACATTAAATATAAAACGCTACATAGTATGTATGTGTAGCGTTAGCAGGTCTTTTAGGCCATTGTTGGATGGACATTTTCCTTCGTTTTCTTCGTTTTCTTTCTTTGTCCTCCCGTCGTTTTCCCCTCAGGTACTCTCCAAATAACATACTTGACTAGTCTATTAGCTTGCATTCTTTCTATATGTCCGAGTCATTCTAGTCTACGTTTTTTCACTACTTTTGTTATTGTATAGCTAGCATACAATTGATATACTTCTACATTAGTTCGTATTCTTCATTCTCCCTCTACTACTTTTCCACCAAACATTCTGCGAAATATCTTTCTTTTCCATGCTTCCAATCTGTTCTGTATGGTTTTGTTTGTAGTCCATGTTTCGACAGCGTATAGCATTGTGGGTCTAATTATAGTTTTGTATACTCTTATTATTGTATTACGAGATATACCTTTGGCCTTAATTATCTTGCTTATGGCTCCAGCATATCTGTTGCTCTTGGTCAGTCTCAGGTTGATTTTGGTTTTTTCCTTACATGCCTGATCAATAAGAGTCAACTGGTCCATCCTTCACCTTTAATTTAAAGGAGCCCGTGGTGTTTATACCTTTTTTTCTCTAGATTTCCTTATACTTATTAACTTTCGGTCCCATTTTAGAGCTTTCCCAAATCAGTCTTTTTGCTATACTTGCCAGTTCTTTTTCATTTATTGCAATAAGAACCACATCATCGCTAAGCATTGGTACTCTTTGTACAAAATATTGCCGGAAGTATTTATCCCACCAACCCTTACAATATTTTCTAGAGCTATATTGAATAGCAAGGTAGACAACGGGAAAACACTTTTTTACCTCGACTTCATCTGAGACTGTACTGTTGCATTTTACAGCAAAAATGGTTTGTTTAATTGTCATTTTCACCAATCTTACTTGTTTTTCTGGCACTTGGAATTCTTTTAGCGTTTCTATTAATGTGTTTCTGTCTAGTGTATCGTAGGCGGATTTACAATCAATGAAAAGTACTTGTGCTGAAATGTTGTATTCATAGAAATTGATTAGGATTTGTTTTAGCATAAAAATTTGATGGGTTGTTGATTTTCCCTTGTGAAATCCTCTGTGGTATTCTCCTAGATTCTTCTCTACATATATTTCTAATCGTTTTTTAATTAGTAGGGATAGCACTATATATTTTTGTATAGAAATTATAATGAAATTGTTCCATTCTTTAAGCATTTCTTTAGCATCCCACGCTTCTAGTATTAGCTCACTAAGTTGGTTTATTAAAGCCTCTTTTCCATATCTTAAGTTCTTTGTTACAATGATGCTCTCTCCGGGGCTTTTTTTTAATTTTTATATCTTTTATTATTTTTTCAATTTCTTTTCTTGTAGGCTTTGGTATTTCTTCTATCACTATTTGAGGTTTAGGAACATTATATTATTCTTCGTCACTCCGTCACTTAGCATCTCTTCGAAATATTCTTTCTTGATCTTTGACTTCTCCTTTTTTTGTGTTGAAGCATGTATATTTATCAATGATATTATGTTATCTTTCCCTTTAATCCTTATTGCACACATTCTGTTTGATTTTGCTACGAATTGTTTTACCTGCTCCACGTCTTCATGTACCAGAAAACCCACTCCAAAATTACTATTATCGCCTCCACTTGTTTAAAACATGTATGGACTAATCTTTTCATTGTTGTTTTTATTCAAATGTGTTTCTTGTATGGCTATGATGTGTATTTTATATTTTTTAAGTTCTTCTATGAGGTTAATTAATGCTCCCTCCTTGTATACTCCTCGCCCATTCCATGTCGCAATATATAGGTACGTACTCTTTTTTTGTTGTGTTATTTATATTCAAACTCGTTTTCATGTTTATCGCTAGGGTCCGTCGGCATAATGGCTCGTGATTTCCTTTTTCCACTACTGTATTCCGTTTTTTTGGGTCCATATTTATAGAATTTTCTCGTTTGAAAATATCAGATCTTTTCTCCAGTAAGAAATCTTAGTTTACTTTTTTCCTTCATTACCTTATTTTTTAGCCGTAATCCTTCATTTGTACCAGACAAACCCTTGCTATAGTATAGTTTCGAAATTGTAGACACTAAATTTAGGAAATGTTGATGACCATTAGGAGTTATTATTGGTCTTCCAGTGTCTACAAAACATATAACTACAGAGAATTTAGATCTGAAATTTTGATACTCAACTAGACCCATATATTTTATAACCGAAAACATTCGGTAGATCTGGGTTACAGAGACTGTCTTGATAAATTTCTCATTTCACTTAACCAAACCTAGTATTTTCAACTTATCGATATACAAGATTAATTACACTAAGAGATATTTTTTTTTTTTATTTATTTATGCCTCAACCTCATAGGGTCATTGGAGATATAACTAAGAGATATTTGTTTTTATATTTGTAATTATATTTATAATATTTCATTTGATCACTCCATTCCGTACATTTAAGTCTATAATTATTACGCTATATAAATAAAACAATGCATAATGCTTGTTTAATATATAAATACAGTAAATTAATATTTAAAATGACTGCAGTAATAAATTACGAACTATATTATATAAACTTTTAAGAGGAAATCATAAATAATAATGTACTTGTATAATGGAGGTACTTTTCATTATACCCAGTTGTAAGGGCGTAGTTGGTTTTATCATTTTATAATTCTCAGTATAAAGTTTTCATTTGCTCATTTAACTTAGTTTGAAGTTGGAGTTACTATGCAAACATTTAACGCTTTTCGGATTAAATTTTCATAACGAAGAATATTCACTGTTACAGAAATGTGTCGAAAAACGAACTAGAGCTAATAATATTATAAATTAATTTAGAACATTACAGGTCCAATATTAGTTTTCCATATAACTTTGGTAACGTATTTATAGAAAGTGTACAATACATAACTTGTCCAAACAACGTGCTTAAATATTTCAGGTTGTTATTAATTTAGAAAACTATTAACAATGCCAATGATCGCCAGATTCCGCTGCTTCTATTAACATCAACAGCCATTTTCTTTAAATCGCGTAATCAATTTTTTGACGAAGCTGGAATTCCATGCAATCCAAGATGCACTAAAATTGAAAAATTATATCCAAAATTTCCATCACATACCAGAACCGGATCCCATGTTTATGTTTGTTGATATAATGGCGGATGATACAATCTGGCGCAGCCACCATTTATGACGATAGTGGAAAATGTCGCAGTGTACTTAAAAATTAATAAGTTATTAATTTTTATCAGCTTATTCAATTAACAAACACCAAGAAC